GGCTCAAACCCAACGCCGAGCAGCAGTTTCTTTACGGCAATCACGTATTGAAGTCAGGTTTGGGTCGCATAACGGAAGGGACGCCACAATATCAGGGCGTTATTGTCTACTCGATGAACGACTTGCCGCTGGGCTTCGGTGTTGCGGCCAAATCGGCCCTCGACTGCCGTATGGCTGATCCCATGACGATCGTGATGTTCCACCAAGCTGATATTGGCGAGTATCTTAGAAATGAAGACAATCTCACATAATGCGTGAAACCACTTCCTCTTCACTTTGTTTTTTAATTTTGTTGACAAAAGTATTTTCAATGAACTATTTTATTGTATATTTAAATATTTAAAGAATTGTGTTTTAAAGTCCGAAATCATACAAAATATGTTACTTTCTTACATGTATTTAAATAATGAATGAATGCATTAAATATTAACAAAATTCAAACAATTGTATTTGATTGACATATGTTTGCAGTCATGCACTTGTTTTAAACACTTGATACGAAATCAGAATATGATTATTGTTTAAAAGAGTTCCCAAATGTTAGTAATTGATACTTACAGCTCACAATTGAGAGCACCTGTAGTTTGGTTTTTGAATGTACAGTAATGTAATTTTAACAATACTGTAGTAAGTTTTTATCTAAAAAGGTTACGATTGCCTTAAAACTTACAGTTATGTCAGATAATCACTTCAGAACTTTAAATTTTAAGTTTTTTAAACAAGCTAAAGTTCTACTAATTAAAAATCTTAGTTAGTTTCAAATTATTTGTTAAATACCAATGGTATATAAAATTAATGTACATTAATGTACATTTTTAGAAATATTTACTTTTTGATAATTTATTTTATGAATTTGTAGTTAATTGAGTTATGTTTTCAATAGATTAATAACACAAAATGTTTACATCATTACAACTTCCATCACAGCTTAAACTCTTTCTTAAACTTTTAGACTTCTTAATTAGTTTCACATTTTTCAATCAACAGTTACAATATTGTATAACATTATTATATAACTTATCATTTAATTATATAACAACTAAAATATTTTATCGGTTTTACTCATTATTTAATTACTGACAAAATTATTGAGATGAGATCATCGATATGTTAATACATTCTTCAAAAAATATATTTTAAAACAACTTTTAATATTATAAAAGGAAATCATGCATAAAAAGCAGTTGAGAAAAGTTTGTGAATAGTTTGTAATTAATTACATAATTGTACTNTTAATATTATAAAAGGAAATCATGCATAAAAAGCAGTTGAGAAAAGTTTGTGAATAGTTTGTAATTAATTACATAATTGTACTTAACTATTGATACATGTATTTAATATACAATATGAAGAGTACGTATAATATTAATGCATTGAAAATTAATGATTCGTTAAATAAATTGTTTACTTGTTTTGTTGGTTAGAGTTTGTACTCTATTTTATATATTCTCTCAATTTTTTAGACGATTGGTTATATTTAGCACAAAATAAGTTCATTTATAAAATAAAAGTTATATTTTGATTCAAGTTATCAGAAATTAAATAATCTGTTGGGTATTAAGTGATCAAACTTTCATATTAACTAAAGTATAGTTTATTAACGGCATTGACTTCAAGGCTATTATAAAAATAAAAACAATTTGAATCCTATTTAGAGGTTGTATTCTCTATTCATTTCATGTTATTTTCATTGATTCAAAGTTTGTCTAAATTTTGAATCAAACACAATAAAGCATTTAATAAAATTGTTGTATTAAATTGAAATTATTGCATTTATACTTCTATTTAATGTAAAAATGAGTGCAAACTTATCGGATACTTCGTTGCGGAAGAGAAATCAAAATGAATCAAATCCACGAGAAAGTGATTCTGTATCTAAAATACATAATATTATGCAACTCACAGACCCGTAAGTTTTATACATGTTATGTTTATACTCATATAACTCAATGTTTTATTTTAATACACCCTTAATTTTGTTTAATTGATTTTTTAAAATGTTTATTAACTAAATTTTATTTAGTTGTCATGAAATCAAAGAATCGCTTTTGAGTAAATCAAACAATGAAATCAATTCGAGAGGATTTCTCAATTTAGCACTTGTTTTGCTGGTATTGTATATTTTTATTATACAGAAGATATTATATTTGTTGATATAACATCATAATTATGTTAAATTTAATACACAATGGAATTACAGTATAAAATAAATAGTGATGTAAAGAATCATTGAATAGAATTGAGGATATTTTATATCTAAAGCTATAATTTAGCCACATGTAAATTATGGTCAACTATTTTAAATAAGTTATTATAATTTATAACCAAAGATCCTTACTTACATTGTACTTGATGTAATGTGCTTTTCTAACTACCCAATGTACAAAATTACTTTCTTTTTAACCATGAAATTATTTATTAAATTAAAATACAGTTTTAAGTAAAATTAAGTATAATGTATAATAATGTAATTGTAAAATTATTGATACAAAAAATTGATACACAGTATTGTGTATTATATAATAACAACTACACTACACATGACATTAAATATGACATAATTTGAAATATTTGACAATGTGTATTTTTACAATATCACAATTTGTATTATATTTCCAATAATAATTTAATTATTATTTGTATTAACACAGGTTTTATCCAACTTAAGGGTAGCCCTCAATAATGTGATTACATTTGGGATACTTATAGATCCGGGGAAATGGACAGCAATACTGATGCAAAATCCGTTATATCGTCCGACGTTTCTATTACTCATTGCTCTCAATATTTTTATCACAATAGCCTTATATATAGAGAAAATTGTGGCCAAAAAACGGATCAGTGAGAAGAGAGCCAACCATTTAATTGTTACCAACATTGGAGTCATATTAATATCTCCCATAATTGTGAACATATTATTTGAATGCAATTTATTGTTGTCTTCGTTTGTTTGTGGCATTTATTCGGTTGTAATTTTAAAATTAATATCATATCATTCGGTGAACGGTTGGTGTAGAACCGCTATAAGATATGGTAAACCAATCGCCACTTTCCGGGAAGTTAAACAAGAATACCTGAAAATAATTGATACAAAAAATTTAGTCCATTATCCAAATAATCTCAGTGTAAGTGATATTTACTATTTCCTATACGCGCCAACACTTTGCTATCAAATCAATTTCCCACAAACGCCGCGAATTAGGATTAGATTTGTTTTGACGCGACTAATAGAAAGTGTAAGTTTGATATCATTTTAAACATTGTTTATTGAAATATTATTTTTAAAATAATATTTTAAACCCTTTTATAGGCAGTTCTTCTTCAAATAATAGTTGGATTAATACAACAATGGATTATTCCTGGGGTTATGAACTCATTGGAACCCTTCCAGGATATGGAATATTCAAAAATCATTTCAC